ATTCCAAACTCGGTTGCATACAACTTCAGCAAGAGTGGTCAATGCCTGGAATGCCCTACCCAACTCCATTGTTACAGCCTCAACCCCACACAGTTTCAACCTCAAACTGTCTACCGTGGATCTCACCCCATTACTAAGAGGTCCTTAAAGGGGGCGTGTATAAGCGCACCAGTGTGCCTACTGTCCCTGTCTTACTGTCCCCATTTATCTGTATTTAGTTCCTTTGTTCATATTTATGTTCATGCCTATACTTGTTATCTTGTATATGTTTAACAAATAAATAAAATATAGATGACTCAACATATGACCATAATGGCTAGTGATCCCTGGCATCCTCTGGCTTGACACATATATTCTAAGGACGTTTTCCCTGCACCATCCTTCTGTGGAGAAAATTATATTGACATGCAATCTATTATTGTTACAATTTGTATTCCAATATTACCTATCCATAGGTAAGCTTGAAAAACCATTTTGGATAATGATCTAAAATACCTTTTTCTCATTTCAATTATCCTCAAAACTTTAAGGATCCTTAGATGTTAGAACAACTATAGGCCCTGTAATTTACTCCTTTTAGCAGTTACTAATGGGAGAATCAATATATCTATTTATATGAAGAAGGAAAATCATAGCAAAGTTTCAGAAAAGAAAAGATTAAAAGAAACATGCTGAATGTAATGTGATTGATATGTTTAAAATATAAGCAATAAAGTTTGAAATATATGACTAATAACTTCAATTATATAGGTTACCTGAATGACTTACTTAAATTAACCACATCTTAACCAGGTGGGTTTTGCAAACTCAACCTATGTGGCATTAGGAGATTGGCCTGGAGGCAAGCAACAAATGTTTGCTTGTTACAATTCTGCAACACAAACCCTACCCTTTACATATGTACATATTGGCAGTCCTCAATTTACAACCATTCATTCATCATTCATTCAAAGTTACAATGGCACTGAAAAAAGTAATTTAAGACTGGGATCCTTGCACTTATTCCTGTTGCAGTAATCTTATAATCATGTAATCAGAATTTGTGTGCTTAGCAACTGGACATGTATTTATGACAGTTGCAGCATCCAAAGGTCATGTGATCACCATTTGCAATCCTCTCAGATAATTTCTGACAAGCGAGATCAATAGGGGAAACTGGATTTGCTTAAGGCCTGAGTGACTGCAGTGATTTGATATAACTGTGGCAAAAAGATAGTAAAATCAGGCATGACTCTCCTGTTGGGCTGGGGTGGGTGGGTTGGACTATATGACTTACAAGGTCCCTTCCAACTCTGTTGATCTAAATGCTGTTCTAAATGCCAATGCCGATCACTTAACAACTGCCATGCTTAGTAATGGAAATTTGATCCCAATTGTAGTCATAGGTCGGGACTATCTGTTTAAGATGCAAGTACAAAATGTAAGTGATTGCAAAAGTGATTACATTTTTCTTCATTTTAACTTCATTTTCCTTAGCAATGGTTTCCAGTGCTGTGTGCTATGCAAAATTCCCAACTATTGGATTGAATAAACCAAGTTTAAGAATATTGGAGTCAGCCAAGATTTTTAAATGTAATTTTTTGAATAAGCCATTGCAGCCTGATTTGAACATAACATTAAAGCCAAAATACATGTTATGCTGAAAGCAACTCAGCTGCTTGCTTTCATAAGCCCTAGGGTAGAAATTTTTGATCCAGGCATTCCCCAAGATAGGAATTGTCCTTTTTCAAAATTGCCTTATGTATATGTACAAAAAGCCACATCCTCGATTTAAAATTGGAAACCTGTGCCCATTTATTTTACAGTTAAGTGTCATAAAAATTATTGGACTTCAATCAGAATAAACATATAGAGAATTGGATAATTTATAAATACAGTTAAGTGTTGCTTGTGTATAATACATTCAGCCAGGATTCCGGAGGCTTAGAAGTCTTTTACGTTTCTAAATATTTAAGGCCTCTTTCTTAGTATTGCAAACAAGCAAATCTGGGGATGAGCCAGGCAACACCCAAACGAGCTTCGGAGACGAGAAGCCTTTCAGCCGGCAGAGGGAGTTGCAGTAAGAGGCATCCTGTTGCTCCGGCCTCAGAGGAGGAGAAGGAGGAAGTAGAATTGCTGAGCTAATGCAAGGGCGAGGCTGGGATTTGGGAGGCTTCTGCTGCTACCGTCGCTGCAGCCATGAAGGAGTTTCAGCCCCGTAACGATGAGGTAACACAGTTCTTTCCCACACTGGTCGGCAGGAACCTTGGAAATCCCTCTTCTCTCGGGGTCGACCTTGCTCGATCGTGGACTGAAAGAGTCTCGAGGAACACAAGGCCGGCACTGTCAGTCCCGACGGTGTCGTCTCTGGCCGGGGTGCGAGGCAGGCTTGCCTCACCTCCTTTGGAGGGAGGTGATAGATCTCTCTCTCTATATATATATATATGTGCATATGTGTGTGTGTATATATATGTGTGTGTATGTATGTATGTATATACATAACCAATAGATAGATAGATAGATAGATAGATTATCTATCTATCTATCTATCTATCTATCTATCTATCTATCTATCTATCTATCTATCTATCTATCTATCTATCTCCTGGATAGATTATGAATGAATATATACATACATATACATATACATATACATATACATATACATATACATATACATATACATATACATATACATATACATATACATATACATATACATATACATATATATATATATATATATATATATATATATATATATATACACACACATACATACACACATATACATATACATAAACATATACATATATATTATATATACATATATACACACACATATATATAACACATATATGTATGTATGTATATATAAAACCAATCACAGGCGATGCAGCCAAGTCAGAGCAGTGAGACTTCATACTTTAAATAACAAAATTATAGTCCTGAAGTATCAAGAGGACACACTCTGCATATGTGTGTGTATGCATGTGGTGACTTTTCTTTCAGGGATGGAGAGGATGCATCAGCATTTTAATTTTTCAGCTGTTCATTTTTACAATTGATTTTTATTTTAGTAGCCATTAAAACTCATGCTACAAAAATCAATAAATCAATTCAGCCCTTGCTTATCAATGGAGACCAAGTGGAGCAAGTGGCCAATTTTAAGTTTCTGAGTGTTACTATAAAAGAGGACCTGACCTGGGCTGTTCACATTGCAGCCCTGGTCAAAAGAGCCCAGCAGAGATTATAGTACCTGAGACTTCTCAGAAAACAATAACTGAATGAAAAACTGCTGGTGACCTTCTACTGCTGCACCATAAAGAGTATCTTAATTTACTGCGCCTGTGTATGGTTTGCCAATTGCATAGGGGCAGATAGGACAGCACTCCAGAGGGTTAAAGTCATTGTCCAGAAGAACATTGGTTGCCCTCTCCCCTCTTTGGAAGAGCTTTATAGCTCCCGCTACCTTAAGAAAGTTCAAAACATTCTCAAAGATCCATCTCATCCTGGGCACCCCTTTTTTTAAACTATTACCATCTGGCAGACAGTACAGGATAATAAAAACAAAAACAAATAGGCTGAAAAACAGCTTCTATCCCAGAGCAGTAACTCTATTGAATTCTACTGTATAGTGCAGTGGTGGTGCTGGGTGGGTGGGTGGGGGGTCAATTCAATGTGTGGAGTGTGAAGGATATGTGTTTGTATTTATTTTCATGGTCATAATGTGCACTGAAGATGGTGTTTTATTTTGTTGTACAAGGTGCAATGGCAATAAAGTAAACTAAAATAAACAAACTAAAAAACTAAAACAATAGAATTAATACTTTGTTTAAAGAATACTTAAAGGAATTTCGCTGCTTTCATCGCCTGGAATGGTCATGCTGGTAGAGTCATTGTGCCTCTAGCTGGGTCACAGGAAGTGATTCAAGTGAAGCAATATCTAAATTGACCTCTTAGTTGCCTCTATGTGTCACTCTGCCTTCAACTAACCTCATCACAAAATGGAAAGTTGTACAGTAGCCCATATTCATGACCTCTCCAAGTTTCTTCTTTTATGATTTGCTAGATCATGCTAAAACTTTTTAAAAGCTCAGAAAACTTAAACCTATAGTTGCAATATTCCTTTACAAATAGTAATTGTTTACATATATATTTATTATTTAAAATATTTTAAGACCACCCATATAAACTCTTAAGTATCTGACAATAAATTGACATAACAAAAGACAAAACAATATTTTATTTTTTATTTTGGATAAATTGCTCAGATTTACAGTTAGGTTTCAGGCCAAATGGCATTAGTCTACATTACTCTTGTAAGTGACCAGTGGAATCTGGAGAGAAGAAGCATGGTTCTCCTGATCCTTGTACATCTCTTAGAGTTTGATAAAGGGACCATTGGCTCTATCATGATTCTGCTACTATAATTGATATTTATTTTTATTAAATTTATTTGCTGCCCATCTTCGAAGTTTCTCTGCATTGCATACAGCATAAAATACATAGGTAGTCCTTGACTAAACCATTTGTTTAGCAACCATTTGAAATTACAACGACAATGAAAAAAGTGATTTATGACCATTTTTCACACTTATGACCATTGCAACATCCCCATGGTCATGTGATCAAAATTTGAATGCTTGGCAACTGAGTCATATTTATGACTGTTGCAGTGTCCCAGGGTCATGTGATCCCCTTTTGTAACTTCTGACAAAGTCAATAGGGAAGCCAGATTCACTTAACAATTGTGTTACTGGCTTAACTGCAATGACCCACTTAACAACTGTGGCAAGAAAGGTAAAAAAACTCACTTCTTAGTAACAGAAATGTTGCTCATAAGTTGAGGACTACCTGTAAGTTGGGACAGAGTATTCAAACTCCTGACCACTACATAGTGTTAGAAGAGTGACTGTTTTGTACCATGTTATTTACATGTGTATAGAATTTCTATGAAAGGTAATCTGTTCAGAGTGAGATACCATCCATATACAGATGTTACTATTTATATTCTGGGCTTGATCACAAGACTAGGTGCCATGATGGCCAGAGCTTCAAAGAACAGTCCTGAATCCATGTATTTCCAACACCATTGAAAGTTTGAACAGTCATTGAACAAATGGCTGTAACATGAGGACTGCTTGTACTTTGTTTTAAATGTTGATATATGCCACACTTTTTTGTACTTTGAAGTGCTCTTGAAGATTATTCAGAAACTTTCAGTTATGCAAAATATAATCACCTATATGCTGATGGATGAGAACCTGTGTGGTAATGATGCACCAACAATACAAGGAATGCATTAATCGCCAGTTTGTTTCTACATATAATTCAAGGAGCTGATTATTACCTACAAATCCTACAAGTCTGAGAAACAATACTTATGGATTTTCCTTCCAGAGGAAAATTACCTCTCCCATTGGATCTACCCATGAAATGATGCTCTAGATTCTCCATTCCCAATAAATGGGTGGATTCAGAAAGAGGTTGCCATGGAGAAGAGAGGGTTAGCCTGCTCTCTGAAGTTCCTGGTGGCAGGATAAGAAGCAACGGATGGAAACTAATCAAGGAGAGAAGCAATGTAGAACTAAGGAGAAATTTCCTGACAGCGAGAACAATTAATCAGGAGTGAAGTTACCTCAAGATGTTGTGGGTGCTCCAACACTGGAGGTTTTTCAAGAGATTAGAGAGCCATTTGTCTAAAATGGTATAGGATTTCCTGCTTCAGCAGGGGATTGGACTAGAAGACCTCCAAGGTCCCTTCCAACTGTTATATTGTTTGTTATTCTGTTTAATTATTTTGAATTCTCAGTTGCCCACTACACTTTTTTTTTCAGTTAAAGGGTTAAGAAAAAGGGTTCTGCAAATTGGTATATGTGTATGTGACATCATTCAGAGATGCTGTCATGTCTATTTCATTCTCTGCCCCATAAATACACATATTTGGATTTAGGTATTATACTAAACTGTAATTTGCCTAATAATGATTTATTGAGAAGAGTACAATTGGCTGACTTCATACAATGCACTAAGCCATAAGCTTTTGTTTACAAACCAAATTGCTTATATTTTAGCATATGACCCAATTCAGTGGAAAACACAGCTAGCTTGATTCTGCTGTTCATTTCTATTTTAAAACACTGGATTTTAACATTTCTTTGAAATAAATTTCTTAGATTTGGGACACTTTCTACCATGACATTCTCATCAATCCATTGCATTTTTTTAAACATAACTTTTCCTGTGATTCCCAGACCAGTTGCTACAGATGCAACATTGGTGAATTCTTGTGGCTCATATTAGTGAGTTATTAGCTTTGATGCTTAAGGAGTTGTACTGTATATGGATGCCACAGGCTGCTTTCTGGAGCATCTTTTTCATTGTGGGCCACATTAGCATTGTGGTTGTCCTCAGGGGCCATGGTGGGGGGGCATGGCCAAGATGGGCATGGCTGAACTGGCCTGGCCAGTTCACGTCACTCACGTGGGCCAGGCAGTGTTGGGGAGGGAATCCAGGGGTGTCTGGCATGTGGGATGATGGGCAGGAGGCTTGTCCCACAGGATGAGGTGAGGTGAGGTGACATGGAGTGGGGTGGGGATGCTGTCACCATGAGGCAATGCAGGGGGTGGGACAGCTGGTGCTGGAAACCATTGGCCATTGTGCACTCACCCTTTGCGCACGGGGGGGGCAATGTTTTCCGGCAGCACCCTCAGCCTGCCAGCCCACTTGATGCGCTTACTCCGTCCTATTGTCTGTTTTTGCTTGCAGGAGAGTAGGTTGCCTCTGGTCATCTCCTCACCCCCTGGTGGATCTTGCCCTCGGCCTATGCATGGAGCATGTTCCCCTCGCACACCCAATGCACCTCCACCAATGTCACTGGCACCGCTCAGCATACCCACCACCACCACCACTCGGCAGACCTGCCCAGCTTGAAGAAGGTACAGCAGCCAGCTAGAAAGCCCGAGTTGAGGTAGTAGAGCATGCCGAGGCTCAGCAGAAAAAAGTCTGCTACCACGAGTGGGGAAAGTCAGATTCCCATTGGCACCATGGCCACCCAGGCCCAGCAGAGACAGGTGGGAGGCATACGATCCTAACCGGGCTTGGGCAGCCATGGGGCCAGTGGGGATCCAGTTTTCCCGCTTGCGGTGGCCGACCTTTGCCTTATGGGCCTGGGTATGCTCTACCACCTCTATTCGGGCTTTTTAGCTAGGCACTTTGCCTCCTTCATGCTGGGCAGGCCTGGTGCTCAGGGCGGCAACAGCAGTGGTCTAATGGACTTATGTGAGCTGTTGCCGACCTTGTTGGTGGCAGCAGCCCACAGTGATGCTGAGGTGCATTGGATGTGCAAGGAGAACATACTCCATGTGTGGGCCAAGGACAAGACCTGCAAGGGGGCTGAGGAGTTGACCAGCAGCGACCTGCTCTCCAAATGCAAGCAAAAACTGACAGAACAGAGTAGGCAGGCTTATAATGTCTGGCAGCAGCTGCCCCACCTCCAACCTCACCTTGTCTCTGCCCACGGTAGTGGCAGTAGCTGAAGGCAGAGGCACAGGGGGAAGGCACGTAGTCCAGTCTGTTGGATGCGCTGGGCAGCTGCCGGCCCATTCCAGCCAAGTGGGATAGAGTAGGCGCGTCTGGTGGTCTGTATCACGTGCCTCTTTCTCCTCTGCTGGCAGTGCCACCAATGCCGCACCTGCTTGGAGGGCCAGCCCAATGGTCACAGTGGGCTGCGGAGCCCCTGCTGCTGGACACCTCCCCCCTACACATGTACACACAAACGTGTGCAGTGTGCAGAGCCACACTGAGGCAATGATGGGGGTAGGGTCAATATGGGAAGCCTCTGTCTGGAGCCTCTGGCAGGTTTTTTTAAAAAAAAACCTGTGGAGCAACAGCGTCCCTTTTTGTCCACCCTCCCCTCCATTGCCTCCGCGCCTGATGCTGAGAGGTTCTGCGGACCACCCCGCAATGCCAGAAGCAGCATGCCACTGCCACCTGCCTGCCGCATCCACCCCAACTGTGACCTAACGCTGGTCACAGTCCAGTCTGGATGGCCACCATCAAGTTGCAAATCAGTGCCCAGTCAGCCTGGGCCAGGCCGAGGTTCCATGGGCCAGTCCTTTACTGTTTCCAGGATGGCCCTGCAACCAGATCTAACCACCTCACAGGCTGGATCCAGCCCATGGGCGTTGAATTTGACACTCCTGCTCTAGATCTAAAGCACTGCACATGCATTATTCTGTAGTATACAAATTTTAGTGTCTGATTTTTCAAGATAAAAGCAGTGAATTAAAGAACCAGCTAAACAGTACATTTGGATCTTTGTGGGTTTTAGTACTATGATACATATTTGTTAAGATATAACAATTTGATTGTAGTAGCAATATGCATGAACTTCATAAATTAATTATATTACCAGAATGAATGAAGATTATGACTATTAACTTTGCATTCGAAGGAGTTGTATTTTTTTTTAATGGCCTGTACGTTTTTGTGTTCTGGAAAGTGATATGCTGTACTGTTTATTTAGTTTAAATTTTTATAAGTTGCAGTACACTCAGATTGGATGAATTTGGGTAAAATATTAATATATATTTATATATTTTAATATATTTACAGATGATCTTTAACACTGAAGAAGCCTACAATATTATTAAAGATGTGAGTTATACATGTTTTGGTAATAAAATGCACTTTGACATGTTTTCTTTGTGTATTAAAAATAGAAATGACAGATGTTTCTGAAAGACTTGATCTATAATCCTATATGCATTTAATTTGGTGTATTATTGAATTTTGGAAATAAGATAGCTATGGTGATAGCCAAACTTTGCATTCATATTTAATTAATAGATGTTTGAGGTTTTTAACATTTTAATATCAAGACAATGCACTGAATTTTAAATGTCTATGTGTGGAACAGGTACATTAGAGGATACACACTAGCAGAAAGTTATTTCTGTCAGTTTTCTGCAGTTTGCTATACTCTCAGACTAAGATATAGTCGGATATGGGTGACTACCTACTAGCTAACAACATAGGAGTGCTTGACTGTGAGGAAAAGTGTCTGGTATCACTCATTTAATTTGCAGAATTATGTGGTAGCTTGGAGATCCTTCTTTGATTGGAAGGAGATTTTGGGTCAGGAGAAGGCTGTTTAGGATCTGAGCCAATTATGTTTAGCATTACATAGCAACAAGTTCTGTTGAATTCTTTGCTGTAGTAACACATGTGCTTAATTGGTTTGTAAACTGTGTTTCTTGTATTGCAATGAAGCCTTTTGTTTCACTAGAAAACTTAATCTGTATCATATGATGTTTACAACTGGGCCAGAGAAATCCAGCACTGTGAAAATAAATAAGATGCTGCTTTTATTTGTTGTATCAATATGTAAACTCAACACAATGAGATATTTTAGAGATGTTGAGATAACACTTGGATTATTGACTGATTGCTTTTGTAATGTCTCATAATTTCTAATCTAGACATTAGAAAAAGTGCCATGGATTTTGAGTTATTTTCCATTCATTATATAAAATATTTACATTTATATTTCTATAAAAGTCTTTTACTTGTTCTTTTAGTATTTTCTTTCCTTTTTCAGTGCATAGAAGGGGTTCTGGGCAAGGCAGATTATAACCATGACAGTGTGAATAAATGGACTACAGCTATAGTAGAACAGTCTCTAGCAAATCTGGTAAAACTGGGAAAAACATATAAATATATTGGTAAGACTCATTGTGAATATATAATACTATTTCTTTGTGAAGTTTGTGAAAACTTAAGACGGTATACTAATAGCTTCTTCTCCTTGAGCAGTTTTCTTCAGCCTGATTTTCTCCAGATGTCCTGAGACTTCAACTCCATAATCAAGAAGATACTAAATTATTAATATTTAATTATTAAATAATTAAAGTGATAGATTAGGATTTAATTCTCACTTACCATCAGGCAGGCACAAATATAAAAGGAGCAGGAAAAATACAAGGAGCCTTGCTAATCTTTTTTGGCCAATATTACCAAATAAAGGGATTACAGGATTGTAAAAAGAGATGGTTATTTTTTTTTATGTTATAGAATAGAATGTTTTAAAGCAGAAGCATGCCCAGATATCTCCAGTGAATATATTTAAATCAGTAATATCCTTTATTTATGCCATATACACACACCTAATCCTTACATATATCTGTGTATCACTACTATGGATTTATCCTCTTTAGCCTTATAGTGTAAAGTCTACCTTTGGTCTATCCATTTGTACCAGCAATTCCAACTGTTGTAGTATTTTAAGGTGTCTTTATTTTTTAATGCCAAAGTTAATTTGTCCATTTCTGCACAACTTGAAATTTTTTGAATGATCATCTCCTCTGATGGAACATGAGGCTGCTTCCAACATTGGGCAAAAGCTAATCTGGCCGCTGTCAAAATGTGTATTATTGTGTATTTCGCTTTTTTGGATATTTGTTTATCAAAGATCCCTAACAAAAAGGGCTCTGGTTTGTATTCGATCTGTTCTCTTGTCATTTCTTCCAGCCAATTTCTAATTTTCTGCCAATATTAAGGATTAAAAAAAAAAAAGAGGTCTTACAAACTGTTGAAGATGAGAATGTTTTTAATTGTTTTCTATTTTTTCTTTCTATTTTCTTCTCCCTTTTTTTCTCTTTCTTTTTTCTTTTTCATTTGTGTATGTGTTGTCGGTTGTTTTAATTGTAAAATCAATAAAATTTATTTATAAAAATAAATAAATAAATAAAATCAGTAATAGAGCTATAGAAAACCAGATTCTTGTGTAGCTGTCTCAAATCTGGTGTTATCTGGTATTATCTAGTTTTGTATTCATTAAGTATTCATAGACATGGTATCATATTTTAGTATGTTTAGATGCTGTGCCTTTTAAGTGCAATAGTGATTATTTTGCAGAAAATTAAATGTACAAAGAAGAATTCTTTACTGAAGGCAAAGTTAGCTAGTTTTCCCCAAAAAAATCTGTACATAGAATTGCTAGAATTGTTAGTGGGGAAAAATTTTAAGGAGAAGAAGAAATGAATCTCAATGATTTAATCTTTCTGAATAAAAAGAACTTAAGAAAACTTCGTAGCATAATTGGTATAATTAATTGTTGGGAAAAAGTGGAAGATTTTCATATATACTTTGCCACTGTAATGATAGAGGTTTTTCTTATAGTTGGGCTTTACCCCAACCCCAATAAAATCTTCATTAGGAAAATCTGCAAGTTTGAATAATTTATCAGTTTATTGCTTTATTAATGAATACTGAATTTTTGCTCTATCCATTAGTGACCTGTGCTGTGATACAGAAGTATGGGGCTGGTCTGCATTCTGCAAGCTCATGTTTTTGGGATACTACAACTGATGGTAAATATCAAGCTGCAGCAAATAAAAGCATCAGTTAAATTATACACTGTAGAAGTATCACTTCAATTTTTAATGAAAGTATACAATGAAAAGTGGACAAAACTGCAAACCATAGGAATCCTATACCAGTTGTAATAAAATTTGACAATTCCCATAGTGTATGTAAATTGTCAGCGATTGAAATTAGGGTTGTTTGGCTAAAACCTGAAACAATGTAATTGGAAGTGACGCCTGTGATCTGTAGTTTTCTGCAATTTTCATTGTTACAAAGATTGGGCTCACGATTATAGTAAGGTAGAGTTTTACCAGGATTTTTACCCAAACACTTTTCGCCTGGATGGAGAAAAGACAGAAACTGGAAGCTTTGTCTGCTTGCAAATGGGGCACTTTGAAATTGAGCGATTCGCTTCATTTCAAAGTGCCCGATTTGCAAGCAGATGAAGCTTCATCTCCCTCTGCACAGCAGAGCTAGTCAGAGGCACGGGGATGAGGCAAGGGATCCCAACAGGCCACCTACTGTCCCACTGTGTTTCGGCTTGTCCACAGCCATGCCGGGGCAGGCACCCATGCAGGGCATCAGGATCACCTTCCTCCCCCCGCCTCTGCCTTCGCCTGCTGCCAGTGCTGCAGCATGAGCCTCCCATGAACCAGGCAGCTGCCCAGCATGTCTGGACCACCTGCCTCCCCCTGCCTCTATCTGCTGCTGGTGCCACTGCACAAGCCTCCCACTAGCCTCCTGTGATCCAGGCAGCAGCACAGCACACCTGGATCACCTGTCTCCTCCTTGCCTCTATGCTCGGATTAACATATCTTCACTGTGCCAAGGGGCTGGCAGACTGCTGCTGCTGCTGGATACCATTGGCCCCCGGGCACTTACCGCCTCTTGTGCTGGCCATGCCCTTCCCCAGCCTCCTGGCTTATTTTTGGGGTAGTGCTTATATTAGGCTCACCCAAAAGAATCGGGTTAGGAGTTATTTTTTGGGTGGGTCTTATTTTGGGGGAAACAGTAGCAAAAGTTTGATTGACAAAATGCGGAAGATCTTAGCTTCTTTTGGTTTTTCTGTATGTCAACTTTCGGCCTGTCCTGAAGTTCACTGGGTTACTGTAAGTATCCATTTTTCCTTGTACCCCAACTTACCCTAACAGGATTGCTGGGTAAAATAGGAATGCATTAATTAGAATGCTTTGATCTGTAAAAGAGGTAGAATCTTAATCTAATAAATGAATAAAGTGCATTACAATAAGGTCATAATATCTTAAATATACGAAATAAGGCTGAAAGAATTCAGAGATATTTTCTAGAAAACAGCACAGTCCAATATAACCATCAAGTAAATGTCTGCTATTCCCTGTGAATGAATATAGGCTATAAAATATTGGGTAGAGATGTTGCCATTTTATGAATTAAAAAGTGCCTGATCATTATTTTTCTTTAAATCCATTACTGGTACTTGCACAGTCAGATGGGAAAACAGAACAATGAACTGTCTGGTCAGTGTCTTTGCTGTGGCCATAATCTTGTAGCAAAGATTAAAGATTGTAAATTGGATAAAATAAATTATCCCAAAGCCTTTTAAATTAGAAACTATCAAATACTCAGAATGTACTGTAAGAATTACTAAATATATATTATTAAGTCTGAGAAAAAGAGGTAGGAAATGTGTTTTTTAAAATGTTTCTGCAAAAATGTTTATATTACACTAAAGCTTTTTTCTGTCAGTTGGGAGACTGCTACATATATGCTGAATTTAAAAGACAAAAATTTGAGTATGCTACAATTGTATGTTTTATGCTTCTGCCCTAAAAAAAGGAAATAATAATAAAGATAATCAAAAACAAAAATATGCTGGATTATCACCAATACTTTGCAAATAGGAAATTAGGATAAATACTCAGAGAATAAATTATGCATAATATACAAGAAGTTGACATATATTTTGCATTGAGTGACAGATCTCAGTGTTTCAGATGAAGGTTTTTAACCTGTTGTCAGAACTCTTTGAAACCTCTTTATTTCTCAAAATAATGATTGATAAGCTTCAACTTGACTACTAAAATCTAGTTTTGTTTATTCCAAGACAAATCTCTGATACTGGCATAGAGAGAACTGAACTGGGTCTCTTGAGAACTGAATGAGTGTCATAGAAAGCCCACCACTGAAGGATTCCATGGTTGTGGTTCAAACTTATATGGAGAAAAGTTTCCACAAAATAGTAGATTTCAAAACCTGTTGTTTTAAAAAGTTATGTTCAAAACTTTTACCGCATACAGTATGCGGTACATTTATAGTAAATGAACAGAAGAAAGATTAAACACATTTTAAGAGGTTTTTTTCATTGTAGAATGCTGAATATCCCCCCCCCAAATCAAAGTATATATTATTCTTTACATGGCATTAATATTTTATAAGAGAATGTAGTTTTTATGCAGGAATTTGCCATGATGAAATTCTTAGGACTTACTTAGAAAATTGAGATAATCTTTTATTAGCCTTTTATTTAGCCTGTGAGGTGATTAGATCTAGCCTATGGGGCCATCCTGGAAACAGTGAAGGACTGGCCCCTGGCACCTTGGCCTGGCCCAGGCTGACCGGGCACTGATCTGCAACCTGGTGGTGGCCATTCGGGCCAGACCACAGCCAGCATTAGATCCACAGCGCCACCTTGGCCCCACCTTCTGGGCGTGCTCATAGGAGGCAGTGAGCGCGCCAGGGCTGGCATCATGGGTGAAAGGAAATTGCTCAGAACGCAGTCCCCAGGGATGCCAGCTCCCCATCACACACAGCCTCCTATGTGCATGCCCAGGGGCGGGGCCAGGGAAGCACCGCAGACCTAATGGTGGCCACAATCCAGTCTGGATGGCCACCATCAGGTTGCAGATCAGTGCCCAGTCAGCCTTGGCCAGGCCAAGGCTCCATGGGCCGGTCCTTTACTGTTTCTAGGACGGCCCTGCGGCCAGATCTAACCACCTTGCAGCTGGATCCGGTCCATGGGCCTTGAGTCTGATAGGGTTCTGATGACTCCCATTTTGTGCTCCAGTGGGTGGTGGGAATCAAAATGTAAATATTGATCTGTGTGAGTGGGTTTTCTGTAAACTTCAACATTAAGGCTTCTGTCTTAATGTGTACCACACAGTCCAGGAAGACTAGTCTATTTTCCTTAACATCTTCCCATGTGTCATGCTCCTGGTGGAGACTGACTCTGAGGGAGAGGAGGAACAGCCGACAGGGAGTGGAAGTGTGGCTCCGGAGGTTGTGGAGGAGGCTGGGGAAGGGCAGAGGCCAGCTGAGCAGTTAGAAGAGGACCCAGGCCCATCCCCTCTCCATCTAGGGCACACAGGGAGGAGAGGATAAGGGAGAGACGTGGTCTCCTCTGGAGGAGAGGGCCTTGATCCTCTTCATGAGCTGCAGGTGTGACAACTGCATAAGTTTGGACCTGCATACTGGCAAACGCTGGAAACAAAGCGTGTTTTGTTTTGTTTTGAGGTTATCGTGGTTGGATCATCACACCATGTGAATTTGATGTATATGTCCATAGTGTTGATATGTTTGGTGATCACTTCCAACATTTCTAATTCCTGTGTTTTGATCTTGAGCCAAGTATCATCCACATACCTATAACAGTGAGTGGGTGGGATTCCTGTGTAGGAGTCTAGGGCTTTGGTTTCTACCTCTTCCATGTAGAGGTTGGCCATATTAATTCCTTTCCTTGGAACACTTTATTGAAGCAAAAGTTGGACTTTGAAGAAACAAGATAGAATATTGGCAAGTTCAAAATTTGGTGTTGGAGAAAGCTCCTGAGAATACAGTGGACAGCCAAAAATGCAAACGAATCATCTAACAAATTATCCGAGGCTTCTTAGTCAAGGCATAAATTTCCAGGCTAAATTATTGTACTTCAGAAACATTCTACAAAGATCTAGCTCTATGAAGAATATAATGGTGGGAAAGATGGAAGGAAAGAGAAGAAGAGGACAACCAGCAGCAAGTTGGATAGATCCAATTACAGTAATAATGTGTACACATCAAGGACAGATCATCATGGAGAAAATCTATGTGATTGCTAAGTGTTGTCATAAACTTGATGGCATATAATCAGTCAATTAACTCTTGATAAGCCAACTTTAGCTTCTGCTAAGCAATGCATATTTTTCTAATTGCATAATATATTCTAGAATTATGCCCCGTATTATCATAAATCTGACTAGTCAATAGTAAATAGTTTCCTGCGTTCTCTTTTTCACTCATTGAAAACAGAAACATCATAATCAGTAATCCTTGGATTGTAAACAGTTATCATGAAGGGAAACCTAGAACATGATACAAAACAGAGGGCAATGCATTCTGTCCTGGAACATATGTCTGATAATGGAACTTTACAGCACTGTTTGGGAATGAGTGATTAATCCTCCCTAAAATTAGAATGGTTCAAGTAATGAGATTTAATTTTAAAATGTTTCTAGCTTGGTAACTATCCAAAGAATGTTGTGGCAAGTTCCATCAAAATAATAATTTAATAATACTATGTTTCTCAGAAAACACGACCCATCCCAATAATAAGCCCAATCCTAATTTTTGGGGAGTGGACCTAATATTACCCCAACCCGAAAATAAGCCCGGGGGAAGGGCATGGCCAGCACGAGTGGCGGCGCAGGCACGGGGGGGGGGGGGGGGGCAACTGTCTAGCTGTCGAGAAGGGCGAAAGTCATTCTGTGCTGAAGCAGAGGCATTCTGAGCCTTCAGTGTATCCCAGGATTGCAATGCCGAAGGCTCACAGTGGAGCCGTTTTTGTGAAAGGCTTTTGTCTCATTTAGATTTAAGTTACACTGTTTTTTTGTTTTTGTTTTTTTGAGGTAACTTCTATTTAAAATCATCAAATTTAATTATTTCCTATCGTAAAGAATTAAAATATTGTCATTTAGTGAAGTATTTTCTCATCAATTAGAACTGTTTCCTATTATATCATCCTTTTCTTTCCTTAACTCCCAGCTAGGAAAAAATATGTTCAAAATCATTGACTAGTATTTTATTCAGTTTCACATCAAAAATTATATAAAAATGGATTATGAAGAACAGAAAGAGTACATAAAATACAAATAAAGGGAGGTAAAGCAGAATATGAATTCAGTCAATGGATACTAAGGAAAATAACATTTAAGAAGTCAATAAGTACTGTATTAATAGTTTTAGTAAACTAATGGTCTATTAGCTTATTAAAATACTTTTCAATAAACCAATGATATCCCTGTAGATTTTATGACAAATTGCTAGGTTTTCATACAATTAATAAAACAGGAAATAAATTTGTTCAATCAGTGATTAGAATAAGTATACAATTAAGCAGTATCCAATCAATGATAAAGATTAAAAAAAAACTCAGTTCCTTCAATTTGTTTC